TTCCTCTTTATCATGTGATTCCGCATGGCTGGCTGGGGAATTCTAGGAGCTGGCAGTCTACACAGCGTAAAGTTATTGAGGTTGAGTTACACAGGTCTATGCTGTTGTTTGGCCATCATGTAGTTTCAGTTTCAAGTTGCAGTTTAGTGTCAGACATATCATGGATGCCAGGTAGCATTTGACATCCTATGACAGTCATCAAGATCCTGACAGGCATCCCAGAACCAGTAGGTACCCATGGTTTCAGCATCATTTTTGACTTGAGATATTTTTGGAGACTAAAATGGTTGTTGCAATCTTCATCATAGAAAGGGGACTACAATTTTGACTGTCACAAATGGTCGTAAGTCAAGGACTACCCTGTTTCCCCCAAAATAAGACATCCCCTGATAATAAGTCCAATCGGGCTTTTGAGCGCATGCGCTAAAATAAGCCTCCCCCTGAAAATAAGCCCTCCCTGAAAATATTTAAACGCAGAGCTGGAAATCAGGTAAGAAAGCAAGAGGAGCCCCATCTTGCTCCACGCGACCCGAAAATAAGGCCAAGTGCTTATTTCGGGATTCAAAAAAATATAAGACAGTCTTATTTTCGGGGAAACACGGTACTTGTACTGGTATCAGAGGGAACTCTATGGAGCCATTTTGGGTTCAGAAGAGGAGGAGGAGGAGAAATTCATTATAGATAAAACAATGAGATATATTTGCATCTGCCTCAGAAAGTAAGCAACTATGTTTTTTTCTCTTTGTAGCCTTAGTCTCCAACTTCAGTACGAGAGCCAGAGATCAGGGATTCTTCATGTCTGAACTTGTGGAAAATTTGGAGGAATCCTTTGGGCTGAGCAACACTATATAAAATACTTCCCTCTAAATAAATTTCTCTTCTTTAATCACCTCTGTTATTGCTTAATACCTTGATACATGTAGTCCTCGACTTACAACAGCTCATTTAGTGACAGTTTAAAGTTAACAACGGCACTGAAAAATATGACTTATGACCGTTTTTCACAGTGATGACCTTTGCAGGGTTCCCAGGATCACATGATCAAAATTCAGACGCTTGGCAAATGGGTCCCAAGGTCATGTGATCAGCTTTTGTTACCTTCTGACGAGCGAAGTCAATGGAGAAGCCAGATTGATTTAACAATCGGATTACTAACTGATCAACTTTGGTGATTCGCTTAACAACTGTGACCAGAAAGGTCGTAAAATGGGCAAAACTCACTTAACAACTGTCTTGCTCAGAAATTTTGGGCTCCATTGTGGTCAGAAGTCGAGGACTACTTGTAATTAAGAGGAGCATTTCTAATTTGGTTAGGCCAGGGATCTCCAACTTGGCAACTTTAAGCCTTGTAGACTTCAACTCCCAGAATTCCTCAGCCAGCAAAGCAAAGCTGGCTGAGGAACTCTGGGAGTTGAAGTCTACAAGGCTTAAAGTTGCCAAGATTGGAGACCCCTGGGTTAGGCTGGTTAGGCCCCACCCCAAACAAAAATATTACTAGATAAACACAGCTAAATTAGGCCACATTAAGTTTGCATCCTAAAGAGTCCCAATCTTTTTCTGTGGTATATTTCTGAGGTAAACTGTTTTGGAAGGAGAAAGATTTTCTGCCTTTTTTTAAAGCAAAAAAACCCCTATCTTTCCCTACGGATCATGGTTTTTCTGTTGCTTTATTGTTATTTTTTTAAGCTGCCAAAATGCCAGCTTGTTTGCTTAGAAATTGCTTGCTCTAATTGGCAGGCCAGACAGACCACTGTGGTTAGATCAGTCTGGAAAAGAAATGAAATTTATTTTATAACATTCTTTTCAGGAAGGGTGCAGAAATTTGTAGGGTAGACTGGGAACCAGGCTGTCTCTAAGATTTCCGTGCCCTTCCGTGCTGTGCATCTCTTTCTTGCTATTGCATTTTTTTTAAAAAAAATGTAATTGCAGATCAACCAAAGTTGTTCATAGATGGAATATTCTGTGGGTGTTAGGCACAAAGAGAGACATACAATTCAATTCAGTTGATAGCTTCAGAATTTAATACTTGGGCATATAAACGGTGAGATCAAAGAGGAGAAGGAGCTAAATTCAGCCGTCAGTGATTTAACAAATGAATTATATGTCAGATGTCTTTATCAACATTGCAGAGTCACAAACATTTCTCATTTCTGGTAATCTAAAGTGGTGATTCATAAGCTTTCATGTTTCCGAGAGCTCATTTTACACGATCTGAATTGTGTTGGAATAATTGATGCCAATTCCCAGAGAGACTGATGGATGACTATTACGTTCACAAAGGCTGCAACTGTTGGAATCACAATTTTGAATTTGAACTAAACGTCCTTGCTTTAGAGTTCCGTATTATGGGTCCTTCCTTGTACACAACTGATTACGCTCACACATTAAACACAACCATATCAATTAAAGAAGGGATACACTTCCATTTTCACAAATGCAGCTTGGCAAGTGTTAACTTGGCTTACGTTTTTAATGGTTTGCTGTGCTGTGTGAGAGCCTTGGTACTCTCTGAGTTTGTTTCCTTGCAGACGTTTCATTACCCAGCTAGGTAACATCATCAGTGCTGATATCTGCAAGAACCATCTTCAAGAAAACAATCAAGTTCAGAGAGCACCAAGGGCCCCTCAGTTCAACCCTGAACTACAAATATTCTGTGTTCTGTGTAAATTCCAGCACTTTTCCTTAATTTGTCATTTATTTTAATGTATGCCGATTAGTATACATTCAAAGTGACAATAAAGTTATTTTAAGTTCTAAGTTTCTTGTCTAAAATAGCATAGACTTTCCTGTTCGAAAGGGGGTTGGACTAGATTGGGGTCTCCAACCTTGGCAACTTTAAGCCTGGAGGACTTCAACTCCCAGAATTGGCTGGGGAATTCTGGGAGTTGAAATCCTCCAGACTTAAAAGTTGCCAAGGTTGGAGATCCCCGGACTCCAAGGTCCCTTCCAACTCGGTTATTTAAATATGTGTTTTTGCTACAAGAGACTATGGCTCACTGGCCCTGTATTCTGTTTTTTTTTTTCTGCCAGGAATGGTAGAAATTTGCCTTCTCCACATGCTGAAGCGTCGGGCATCCGGCTTCTTGCGGACGGACAAGATCGCTGCACTTTTCACCAAGGTTGGCAAGACGTATGACGTGGCCAGTGAGATATGCAGGAAAGTGCAGGAGTTGCTGCAACAAGCTGAAGGCAGGTGAGGGTGACGTTCATTTTTTGTGTGTGTTTCCTAGTGGCCAGTCAGATGCCTCAGGCTACTCAACATTAGGAGATGGAACATCCCATTCTTCGGTGGCACAACTGGAAGAGATAATTGTGCATCTTGCATTCTGCAGCCACCATGATTATTTTTAATGATTCCAGGATCAGAGCATAGTGGATAGGGCCCATCATGCTTCTTTGGTATAAGAGAATATAATAGAATAACAGAGTTGGAAGGGACCTTGGAGGTCTTCTAGTCCAACCCACCTCCTCAGGCAGGAAACCTTATACCAGAGAAATGAAAGATTGTTCTCCTGGCATTGTGAGATTCCTGGGAAAGGCACAGTTAGGGAAGAGAAAATCATCTGACCACTATTAATGCAATACGAGTAGTCCTCGACATACGACCTTCATGGAGCCTGTCCATTAGGATTATACATTGTAGCGATCACAAAATTATGCCTTTTTTTTTTTTGCAGCAATTGTTAGTTAAACATTGTGGTCATTAATCAAACACTGCAGACATTAAGCAAACCAAAACCAACCCCACAATTTTGCCAAAAACAGGAAGGAAGTGCTGGTTTTTGGCGAAATCATTTTAAGTCCCAGTCATGTGACCACAGACACGGGAAACTGCTGTAAATGCGGCTATTTTGCTGAGTGCCCGAAATTCAGTCATGTGACCATGGAGAGGGTCTTACCATCAGAACTCTGAATTTAGGTAGTAAGTCTCCTTTTTTAGATCAGTCATAACTTCGAACAGTTGTTAAGCAACTGGTGATAAGTCAAGGACTACCTGTGTAATGCTGCCCAGTTGTTTTCTCTTTCTACTGTGCTTCCTAAAGCTCATGGTAGGCCTTCATGTTTGAGTTAATCTTCTCTCTATATCTTCCAGAGATTTAGAATCAACCTTGGACACAAAGTAGATTTCTAATCTCTATTAATTTTGCTCTGAGGGAGATGGCCAGTTTCCAAATTTGGTAATTAAATAAATACATTTAGCCCAAACTGGTTTCTAACACAAATAATGTGTCGTTCACCACTTTCCATAAGCCACACCAAGTCCTTTAGTTGTGTACGTGTGAGAGGTTGGAAAAGATTGCTCTGGATGTATGTTTTTCAAACTTGGCAGCTTTCCTTTTCTCCCCAATTTAGCAAAATAAAAAATAAAAAAATCCCTTGGGGATCATGTTGACTTTATTCACTTCTGTGTCTCTTAAGTTGAGATCCCAAGTTATATCTGTGCACATTCAACCCACAAAGAGCTTCAAAAGAGAACTTGTCCCTTTCTTCTTTTCCTTTGCAGATCATCTGTAAGCAACGGGGAGAATGTAGGCAGGTGGTTCGGCTTTCCGACTGTGTTTCCATCTCTGTTCAGGTCACTAGTTTATATTAAGTGAGAAATTCAGATGTAGTAGAGAAAAATAAGATCCCCTTTTCCTCTTTTTGACTGGGTAATTCGAAGAGGGAGAAAATGATTTCCCAGGCATTTTCTTTTTGTTTTCCTGTTCCCCCCAAATTTCCATTTTTAACTACCATAGTTTGCCCATGGCCATTTGGGTGGTCAGGAAACACTTTGGAAAAATATGGAACCCCTCCCCCCCCTTAGTGACATTTCAGCATTTAAGCAGCTGATCGAGTTGGCTGCGAAAGGAGTTGGTTGAACTGGCAAGCAACGTCACTGCCTTTGCCAATGAAACCGCTAGATTTTTTGGCTGCTCTTCCCTCTTAAACTCAGTTTTCCAACACTTTGCGGCTGGATTTTACATAGCAATTGCCAAAGATGGAGACGATTCATGATGAAGAGAGACAAAATAAAACATTTACTTAGGCTGCCCTACCTCGCAGATTTTCTTCTGGAAGACAGGCATAATTGGAGCCACAGAGGCAACCTCTCATTATATATGGTGCAAAAGAGAATTGCATATTTTCTTGTGTGTCTTCAATATATATATATATATCTCCTGAGTCTTTGAATTGATATTGCAACCAAGCAGCAAAAAAGTCTTCGAGAAGGTGCAAAAATATGCAATATAACCCTGAGATGTAAAAAAAAAAAAAATCAGCATCATGAAGGACTAGAAACTTGTGTGCCGTCTTAACCCCATAAAAGAATCAGAGACTGAAGTCAATTTTCATAGCCAGCCTGGCATTCATATATAACTTGCTTGCAGGGGAATATACCAGCCAAGTGAAATAGTACTAAATGGTCATGAAATGCTTTACAGGTAGTCCTCGACTTACAATCATTTGTTCAGCGACCATTCGTGGCAACTTGAAAGCTTTGCAAGTTGACACTATATCTAAATCACTATATTTCCTTTGAAGTTTGGATCATGGCTCATGAATTAATTAGGGCATCTTTCGGAAACTTGACAATTTGAAGTTACAAAAGCATTGGGGAAAAAAATTATTTACAACTGGTCCTTGCACTTAACGACTGTCGCTGCATCTCCATACCCACATGAACAAAATTGGGGTTCTTGGCAACCAACATGTATGTACAAGAAGTTGCAGCATCCTGGGGTCATGTGATTGCCATCTGAGACTTTTCCAGCCAGTTTCCAATAAACAAAAGCCAATGGGGGAGGGGGGAGATGGATTTAATTAATGATAGTGTGATTCACTTAACAACCATGGCAAAAAGGCTCATAAAAATGGACATGACTCACTTAACAACTATCTTGCTTAGCAATGGAAATTCTTGTCCAATTGTGGTCGTAAGCTGAGGACTACCTGTATGTTTTGAAAAGTCTCTTTAATGCTAGTTTCAGAGAGTTTCTTCCCTTCCTCTTTCCCAACCCCTTCAAACTGGCTAATTCTTATAAGCAACCTCTTTGTCTTTTCCCATCATGATATTAAAACCTCTCGAAGCATCCCAGGAACTTTCGTGTGTCCAAATGGCCCTAAGCCAAGAAAACAAACCATGACAGCAACAACCAGCAGAGAGTTTGTTAAGTTATTGCCTCTGCTCACTTTCAGCCAGCAAAGGGGTTAACCACACAGGAATGAAGTCTGCTCAGTGGATGTTATTTAGCAGATGCAACATTATTCCAGGAGTTTTATTTATTTATATTCCGCCTTTACAATTATTTATCCATAACTCAAGGCACCAAACACATCCTCCTCCAATCTTCTGCATAACGCAGAACCCTGTGAGATGGGTTCAGCTCTGAGAGAGGGAATGAGCCGAAGTCACCCAGTCGGCTTTCACGCCTAGCGTGGGACTAGAACTCACGGTTTCTTGATGATTGGCTTAAATTCACCCAGTCGACTTTCATGCCTAGGGCGGGACTAGAACTCACAGTTTCCTGGTGATTCACTCAAAGTCACCCAGTCGGCTTTCATGCCTAGGCAGGACTAGAACTCACAGTTTCCTGGTGATTCACTCAAAGTCACCCAGTCGGCTTTCATGCCTAGGTGGGACTAGAACTCACAGTTTCCTGGTGATTCACTCAAAGTCACCCAGTCGGCTTTCATGCCTAGGGCAGGACTAGAACTCACAGTTTCCTGGTGATTCACTCAAAGTCACCCAGTCGACTTTCATGCCTAGGTGGGACTAGAACTCACAGTTTTCTGGTGATTGGCTCAGAATCATCCAGTCGGCTTTCATGCCAAGATAGAATTAGAACTTTCCTGGTGATTGGCCCAAAATAATCAAGCTGCTTTCATGCTCAGGGTGGGACTAGAACTCACAGTTACCTGGTGATTTGCTTAAAGTCACCCAGTCGGCTTTCATGCCTAGGCGGGACTAGAACTCACAGTTTTCTGGTGATTGGCTCAGAATCATCCAGTCAGCTTTCATGCCAAGATAGAATTAGAACTTTCCTGGTGATTGGCCCAAAATAATCAAGCTGCTTTCATGCTCAGGGCGGGACTAGAATTCATAGTTTCCTGGTGATTGGCTTAAAATCATCCAGCCGGCTTTCATGCCTAGGGTGGGATGGTCTCCTGAAATCTGCACATCTTAAAGTTGCTAAGGTTGAGTAACACTGTTCTAGGTAGTTAATAATACCATGGAAAAATTCAAATGAAATAGAAATCAATAATATTGGAGCTTTATGGTGATTGAGACTGGGGCATCAGTGTTCTGCCATTGTACATCTTGCAAATACAACCTTTGATGTGGATTCTGCTTTTTTTTTTCTCTACCCCCCAAAACAGAAAATACCAGCCGGCTGGCCAAGAATCCCTGAAGAGACAAGCTTCAACCACAAACAAACCCTCTTCTTTATCCCCGCAAGCCATTAAGCACATCTGGGTGCGCACCGCCCTGATCGAGAGGGTGCTTGATAAAATTGTGCAATACCTTGTGGATAACAATAGGTAAGAAGAGTGCCAAGGTTTGCTTGGGTTATTATTTTTTGTTGTTCATTTTGTTCAAGGGAGGGTATATGCAGTCCACTTTTCAGAGCGCTGAGTTGTGGATGTTAACATTAGGGCATGTCCCTGCGTACAAGGTTTTTACATACTTCCATCCTGCTTTTGGGTGGTGTGGGGAGATTCTCTATTTTTGCAGAGTGTTATTGTCCTATATGGTGTTTTTACTTATATTGCTCACTAGGAGGCAGTATGTGACTAATTTCCTCCTATATTGGGACTCATCAGACATACAGGTAATAGCAATAGCACTCAGACTTACCGTATTTTTCGGAGTATAAGACGCACCGGAGTATAAGACATAGCTTAGTTTTTGGGGAGGAAAATAGGGGGGAGAAAATCTGCCTACCAGGTATTCATCTGGCTAGCGTCCTTAGTCTGGTCAGCTTCAGCACATTAGTTTGCTGTTTTTTATTTACTGCTTGGGGATAAAAAACAACTTCTAAAGCACAACTGATCTTTGGAGAGAGAAGCAATGAGAAAAGCAGGCAAACCACGGAGATTGCTTCACTCGCTAGCGCTTTGTTAGGGCTGAAAAAAGCTTTGAGTCGGAGGCAAAGCGTTTCACTGTTAGCACCTCCTTAGGGCTGAAAAAAAGCTTCGAAAAAGCTACATTCGGAGTATAAAACGCACCCAAATTTTCAGCCTCTTTTAGGAGGGAAAAACGTGTGTCTTATACTCTGAAAAATATGGTATATACCACTTCACAGTGCTTTACAGCCCTCCCTAAGCGGTTTACAGAGTCAACATCTTGCCCCCAACAACCTGGGTCCTTGTTTTACTGACCTCGGAAGGATGGGAGGCTGAGCCAACCTTGAGCTGGTCAGGATTGAAGGCATTGAACTCTTGACAGTCGGCAGAATTAGCCTGCTATAGCAGTAACACTCAGACTTATATACCACTTCATAGTGCTTTACAGCCCTCTCTAAGCGGTTTACAGAGTCAGCATATTGCCCCCAAACAATCTGGGATCCTCGACTTACCACCATAACTGAGCCTGGAATTATGGTCGCAAATTGTTAAACAGGTCACCATGTGACTGGACCCGATTTTATGACCTTTTCTGCAGCACTGTGGTCATTAAGCAAACACAGCGGTCATTGAAACAATGACTTTATCCAGTCACGTTTTTTGCCAGAAACTGAAAGTAAACACCGGAAACTGGCCCAAAACACCAAAAATTGTAGTCACACGACGTTGGGACAAGAGTTATAAACACCAGCCTGTTGCCAAATACCCAAAATGAAATCACACAACGGCGGGTTATAATGCATGCAGCCGTTGGAACTCCAGAACTGGATCATAAATACAGGTAGTCCTCGACTTATGACCACAATTGAGCCAAATTTATATTGCTAAGTGGAAACATAGAGCCTTGGTACTACAGTGGTTTAAAGCACCCTGTTATTAACACAGCTGCCTGCAATTTACTGCTGGTTCGAATCTCTCCAAGGCTCAAGGTTGACTCAGCCTTCCATCCTTTCTAAAGGTAGGTTAAATGAGGACCCAGTTTGTGGGGGCAATAAGCTGACTTTGTATAAATATACAAAAGTATGAAGGCTATTGCTTAACGCACTGTAAGCCGCCCTGAGTCTCCGGAGAAGGGCGGCATATAAATCAAATTAAAAAAAAACAAAAACATTTAATTGAATTTTGCCCCATTTTACCACGTTTCTTGCCACAATTGTTAAATGAATCACTGCAGTTGTTAAGTTAGAAATAACATTGTTAAGTGAATCTGGCTTCCCCATTGACTTTGCTTGTCAGAAAGTCGCAAAAGGGGATCACAGGACCCTGGGAAACCTACAACCGTCATAAATGTGAATCAGTTGCCAAGCATTTGAATTTTGATCACCTGGTCTTGGGGATGTTGCAATGGTCATATGTGTGAAAAATGGTCATAAGTCACCCTTTTCAGTGCTGTTGTAACTTGAATGGTCACTAAATGAACTGTTGTAAGTTGAGGACCGCCTGTACCTTTTGAGGGATTCATCATAACTTTGAACAAGTCCCTAAGTGATTGGTTGTGAAGTGAGGACTACCTATAGCAAGGGAGGAAAGGGATCTTTGTCAATCCATAGCAGTCCCCATGGACCTAGGTTTGATTTCTGCCTAAGGAGGTCTGAACAGGTAATTCCTGAATTTTCTTGGAAATGGGTGGGATTGTTCACTTCAACAGACCTGATTGCAGATGCTGATGGACAAAGCCAGGACTTGGATCTCTCGCCCCATCTATAGGTGAAACAGTGCTACTTCTCTCCTTTAAGATCGCATGTCTTCCTAAGAACACAGGAAATCATCTTTTTTAAGGACTTGGAGGTTAGACTGAGATGTTGTGCTAAGAATTCATTTGGCATGCTTTATATATGAAGCCAAAGGGACGCGGTGGCTCAGTGGCTAAGACACTCTGCTTGTCGATCGAAAGGTTGGCAGTTCAGTGGTTCGAATCCCTAGTGCCGCATAACGGGGTGAGCTCCCGTTACTTGTCCCAGCTTCTGCCAACCTAGCAGTTCAAAAGCACGTAAAAAATGCAAGTAGAAAAATAGGGACCATCTTTGGTGGGAAGGTAACAGCGTTCCATGCGCCTTTGGCGTTTAGTCATGCTGGCGATATGACCACGGAGACATCTTCGGACAGCGTTGGCTCTTCGGCTTTGAAACAGAGATGAGCACCACCCTCTAGAGTTGGGAACGACTAGCATGCGAAGGGAACCTTTACCTTTATATATGAAGCCAGCCATAGTGGTACATTATGGGTTCAAAAAAAGTAGGGACTGTGAGAGTCCAGCTGAAATTTGTTCATCTAACTTCTGCCCTGCAACGAAGATGATTAAGTGGCCGGAGGCTAAAACATATGAAGAACCATTGCAGGAACTGGGAATGTCTAGTCTAGTAAAAAGAAGGACTAGGGGAGACATGATAGCAGTGTTCCAATATCTCAGGGGCTGCCCCAAAGAAGAGGGAGTCAAGCTATTCTCCAAAGCACCTGACGGAAGGACAAGAAGCAATGGACGGAAACTAGTCAAGGAGAGACCCAATCTAGTCCTAAGGAGAAATCTCCTGATAGTTAGAACAATTAACCAATAGAACAGCTTGCCTTCAGAAGTTATGGGTGCTCCATCACTGGAAGTTTTAAAGAAAAGATTGGAGAGCCATTTATCTGGAATGATATAGAGCAGGGGTGTCAAACTCAAGGCCCGGGGGCCAGATCCGGCCCGCAGGGTACTTAGATCTGGGCCGCGGGGCCACTCTGGAAACAGCAAAGGACCGGCCTGTGGTGCTTCTGCCAGTGAAAACAGGTTCCCGAGCTCCATTTTCAGCTGCCACGGTCTCCCGCAACCCTCTGCCAGTGAAAACGGAGCTCGGGAGGCTCACATCCTGAGCTCTGTTTTCACTGGCAGGGGGTTGTGGGAGGTTGTGGCAGCTGAAAATGGAGCTCGGGAGCCCGTTTTCGCTGGCAGAGCGCTGGGGCCACTACAGCCCCCCCCCCAACAGGAGTGACGCCGAGCTGGCCATGCCCCCCCGGCCCCCCCCCCCCGAGGTCAAACACAAGCCTGATGCGGCCCTCAATGAAATCGAGTTTGACACCCCTGATATTCTGTTAGGTATTCTGTTAGGGCAGGGTGTTGGACTACAAGATCTCCAAGGTCCTTCCCAGCTCTGTTATTCTGTTATCGTCTTGTCACCAGCTGAAGCTTTTCACTGACTCAAGATGTTCCCACCACTTGCTCTGTGGTTAAGGAATAGCTCTTTCCATCCCTTTGATTCCTTTAGCCTCGGTGGTTTGCTATCCCCTTAGCTACTATTTTATTTATTTTCTGTTGTACTTTTTTATTGCATTTATACCGGAGTTCAAAGCAGCATCTGTAAGGGGGGAATTCTGGGAGTTGAAGACCTTTTTCAAGTTGCTGAGATTTAAAACGCTGGTTTAGAAACTTTAGATTTAGGAGAAGATTGAAGATCTGCATACATCACTAAGCAACATTTTTATGATATGGTGATGTTATCCATTCAGTCCTGTTCCACTCTTGGTGATTCTAGAGTCAGGTCTCTCCACATCTTTTGATCTTTTATCTCAAAGTCTGCTTAGAAAGCTGAGTTCAATTTTTGATGGCAGTTGATCATCAGGTGTAAAAATAGAGAAAAGATCCTCGTAAGAGGAAAACTTTGACTGCATCTAAACTTAAGTGAGCATGTAGGTTGAAGAGGTTTTGATCTCCCATTGAACCTTTCCAGATGTTCCCTTTGCCACAACATTTCCAGATGTTCCTTTTCACACACATGCACATGGGAAATAAAATAAAAGAGGGAACAAGCCAGAATTATGGTCATTTTAACTTCTGTTCCATTCAAAATTTTGCCTTAAAATATTACCTCTACAAAATATATTGTGTTCATATTTTTCCTTTCTTTGTTTGAATTGATTGTGGGGATTGGTTTCTTCTAGCAAATATTATGAAAGAGAGGCATTATTGGCAGATCCAGTATTTGGACCCATCTTGGCCTGTCTTCTAGGTAAGTATCTTTCCTAAATGTTACTTCTATGCAATTTTGAAGAACTTGGTTCCCCATGTTGTTTTCCAAAGTTGTTTGCAAAAATTAAAACGTGAATCCCAAATATAATAGAGTTGCACCAAAGGAATTTGTGTTTGTCAATTGGTATGGTTAAGCTAACATTTCTAAGAGTCCCTTAAACTATTTTGTAAGATTGTGAAAGTTTCAGAATAAAAGATATTAGAAAGCTTTTGGAGAATATAAAATGGAACTGTTCAAGAGAAGGATTTAGACTCCTATATTCATTCACTGTATTCATTCGCTGTTTTCATATACTTTTTCCTGGAAATCCAAAGTTTTCGTAGCGATCCTTGCAAATTTTATTTCCAACACAGATCTGTCAGATTGGACTTCAAGGTATTTTAATTGGCCCAGAGTCACCCAGTGAGCTTTGTGGTTGGATGGGATTTGAACATGAATCTCTCCAAACCAAGTCCAACACGTTAATTGTTACATTACAGGTAGTCCTTGACTTACAACCATTCGTTTAGCAACTGTTTGAAATTACAATAGCACTGAAAAAAAGTTACTTATGACCAATCTTCATACTTATGACTATTGTAGTGTTCCTATGGTCACGTGACCAGAGTGTAGGTGCTTGGCAACTGGCATATATTCACAATGATTGTGGTGTCCAGGAGTCATGTGATTTCTATTTGCAACTATCCCAGCTGGCTTCTGACAAGCAAAGTCAATGGGAAAATCTGAATTCACCTAACAACTATAGGAGTCCCTTAACAATTGTGGCAACAAAGTTTGTAAAACTGGGCAACTCTTAAAAATCATTTTAGCAGTTAGAAATTCCAATCCCTACTGTAGTCGTAAGTCAAGGACTACCTATACATTGTATTACACATTTAAACTACCCGCTACAGTTTCATCGTCCTCTTTTCCTCCCCCAGAACTTGGGTGCTTCACGTATCCTTGGGGACAGATCAGAGAAACATCTGGATTTGACATTTAGAAAAAACAGACAATCAATGTCTATTGTTTTCAGCATTTGGGTTTGAACCTAAATGCATCACTCCACTAAGTAGAGCCTAGTTTCAAGACTTGGAGGATGAATGGCAGAATCTGGGGATGGAATTATAGACCTGTGACTTGAAAATCAGCCAGCTTTCCCCCAGCATCATGCCCAGGGGGAGATAAAATCAGCTAGTATAGAATTTCAGACATTTTGTAGTTTTTATGTATGCCTCGCTTCCCAGCTGTTCACTGCTTTTACTATCCTGCTGCTGAACAAATTCATAGTTAGTGTTCAATCAATATTTTTATTTGAAAAGATATGGGGGGGCATTTTGTTGTTGGCAGGATTCAGGATTGATCTAGTAGGGACCAAGATGGCCTTCCCTCTTCTTCCAGATACACAAGCAGTTCATTTTTGAAACAAAGTGGCTGCTGTAAGAGACACAGGCCTGACCACCAAATATTTTGCTGAAATTTCCAGATCTAGTATTGAAACTTCTTCTTTGATCTAATGACAGGGCCAACTTGACCTTCCAACTCGGGAGGGAGACAAAATCTATTTATCATTTAAATCAGCATCTCTCCATCTGTTCTGACCTAGGCTTCCTTAGAAAGTATACAACACTATCTTAGTCCTGCCAAACCTCTTTAATTCATAGGGCTGTGAATTATTGTCATTCCCAGTCCGAAAGGCTTCTCAGTCTTTCAGGGAAGTGTTTACAAACACCCACCTTATCTCCCGCCGGAGAACTAATTGCCACACGCAGGGCAAGACCAAACTTAGTACAGAGTCAAACAGAACTTTTCCAAAGCTTTTACTGACCAGATGAACTTCCTGAAAAAAGCTCACGTCCCGTTCGCTTCTCTTTTATGTCTTATGGGAGGGGCCAATCATCTCCATGCCTTAATCCCAAATCAACCCCGTTTTCTTAATTGTTCCTGTCTTCTGGCAGCTCTGCGCATGCGCACACTGGGAACAGGCTCCTGCTGTTCTTCTGCCTCACTGATGTCAGACTGTGGAGGCTCCAGAGGCAGCAAAAAACTACCAGATGGCCTTGGCCCCCTCTCTGTCTCCGATGCAGAGCCCTCATCTGAGCCTTCCCCAGACTCCAGGACTGGCCCACATTCCTCCCCAACCTCCTCACTGTCTGAATCTGCTGCCAGCTCTGCTGGCTGTTGGTGGGCCACAACACAGTCTTAGCAACTTTAAGATGTGCGCACTTTAACTCCTAGAATTCCCGGGCCAGAATTCTGGAATTTAAAGTCCTTAACTGCCATGGTTGAGAAACACTGGTTTAAACGAACGAATGTTTACTTGAGGATTGGTCAGCCAACTTCAATTGTTAAGGCCTTTTGGGGAGGAAGAGAAGCATGTGACTCCATTTTCCATTTTCTCTGTCTGGCTTTCAGTTGGGCCTTGTGCTCTGGATTACACAAAGCTGAAAACGGCTGACCACTTCTGGACAGACCCCTCAGCAGACGAATTGGTCCAGAGGCATCGGATTCATGGAACCCATAATCGTCAAGACTCTCCTTCTAAACGGCCAGCCCTAGGAGTAGGTGATTTCTTTCTCCTTTAATATCCCTCAAGTCTTTTTTAAAAGTAATTTTGGAATACTTAGCAGGGGTGGGCTGCTGGGGGTTTGCAGGGGTTCAGGAGAACCTCTAGCTAAGATTCTGTGCACTTGAGAGAACCCCCAAATCCCACTCCTGGCTGGCCAGGAGTCCCCTTGCGGCCCATTTTGGATGCAGGTAAGTGCAGGGCATGTGCGGAGGCTCAGGGAAGGCAAAAAACGGGCCTACCGGAAGATCAGGAAGGCTGGAAATGAGCCCGTTTCTGGCCTCCACCAGAGGGCCTCCGGAGCCTGGGGAGGCAGTTTTCGCCCTCCCAGAGGCTCGAGGAAAGCCTCCGGGGAGGGGGTGTGCATGCCCCCCACAAGTTTTGTTTTTGCTGACAGAGGGTTGCAGGAGGCTGTCGCAGCTGAAAACAGAGCTTGTGAGGGCCACATGTGCCCCCCCCCAGCTCTGTTTTCGCTGGTAAAGGATTGCAAGCGGCTGTCGCAGCCAAAAACAGAGCTTGGGAGCCCGTTTTTGCTGGCAGAGCGCTCAGGCCACCATAGGCACCCCCACTCAAAGAGTGACTTTGAACTGGCCACACACCCCTGGCCACGCCAACTCCACCTCCCTGAGGTCAAACACAACCCAGATGTGACCCTCAATTAAATCAAGTTTGACACTCCTGCTGTAGACCAAGGCATATAGTTCATACTAGACAACCTGTGTCCCATTATGTCATAAATTCTGAGATATTTCCTTACCGGGTTCCTCAATTCCTTCAACACAGCTTCTCATATACTGCCTTCACTCAAAAAGTTGAGATAACGAGAGACATGTATCTGCCTTGAAAATAACCCCTGTTGAACTATATAGCGTAGCTAAACGTCAGCACAGGAAGTGTTTTATGACATTCCATATTACATCATAATCACCTTTATGATAATGTGTCAGCCCTGGAGCCATCTTTGAACCTCTTCAGGGTTGCCACAGGCTGCTACTTGGAATCCTGACGTAATGTTTATGTCATAAATTGTTTTATAAAATTTGCTAAATTCCAATCCATGGGAGTCATAGGTTCCAGAATTTGGACCTATTCTGTAAATTAGCACATTTGAGGGTACCTTGGTTCAAAAAAATGATGCTCAGTGATGCACCATTTCACCCAGTTCGAGGTTACAGGAATCACAATTTTTGTAGTATGTTATACATCTCTTTCTCATTGAGAAACATAAAAACTTTCTTGAGTTGACCTCAACTCAGTGGTGACATCTTGGCAACAATAGTTTAGCCATGACCTTCTTCTGGTGTAGACACCTCCTGACTTACTTACTTTTATCCAGTGGCAAATATGAAGAAGTATTTGCATCCAGTGATGTCCAACATGGAGGATCATAACAAGCAAGATGGTAGTCATGGCTGTGTGACCTAATCCCTGCCCCTTTGCACATGTATGGAGTGTCAAAAAACATAAAAAGACTTGGACTATATTACAACAATTGACATCTGGTCTTTTTTATCCTCCTCATGGATGTCCCATTTTCTGGTCACACCCCAATGCACCTTTCATTCTTTTCCATAACTACAGTTAAAAGAACACACCTATAGTTCCCAGTGTTTTCCAGCTTCCCCATCAATCCTCCTTTGCTTTTTTAGATCAGCCAAGATCATCTAGGCCAGGAGTATCCAACCTTGGCAACTTTAAGACTTGTGGACTTCAATTCCCAGAATTCTCCAGCCAGCATGGGAGTTGACTGGCTGGGGAATTTGGGGAGTTGAAGTCTAAAAGTCTTAAAATTGCCAAGGTTGGACATTCCCGATCTAGGTTTTTGCACCTGCTGTAAATTGCCTGTTCAAACTGCCCAAAGAGCTGCTGATCCAGTTCTACAGAGGAATTATTGAGTCTGTCATCTGTCCCTCTATAACTGTCTGGTTTGGTTCTGCAACCCAACAAGACAGACACAGACTTCAGAGGATAATTAGAACTGCAGAAAAAACAATGGCTACCAACCTGCCTTCCATTGAGGACCTGTATACTGCACGAGTCAAAAAGAGGGCTGTGAAAATATCTACAGATCCCTCACGTCCTGGACATAAATTGTTTCAACTTCTACCCTCAAAACGACGCTATAGAGCACTGCACACCAGAACAACTAGACAAAAGAACAGTTTTTTCCTGAATGCCATTACTCTGCTTAACAACTAATTCCCACAACACTGTCAAATAATTTACTAACTATTATTATTATTATTATTATTATTATTATTATTATTATTCTCTTCCTTCCTTAATAGTATCTATCTCTTCCCACTTATTACCATAACCAGGTTTCATGTATCTTTCAATTTATGTTGTTTTTATTTGTTTCCTAGAACGATTTGATAGCTTATTAGTAACCTTGACTATCACTAACTGTTGTATCTTTTTATTCTTGATGAATGTATTTTATTCTCCTTATGTACACTGAGAGCATATACACCAAAGACAAATTCCTTGTGTGCCCAATAACAGTTGGCCAATAAAGAATAAAAAAGAAAGAAAGAAAGAAGAAAGAAAGAAAGAAAAAAGAAAGAAAGAAAGAAAGAAAGAATTATCAGAAAACACAGTATTACAGATAGACAGACAGACAACAGACAGACGAGGCTTTATGTTAGAAATTGAATTGTTTGTGCAACATATTCGGAGTGGATGGGGACAATTCAGGAAATAATCAGTTGATTGATGATAAGGAAACCAAAATCTTTTGTGGAGGCCAGGAATGGAGAGGACAAACAAATTCAATTTAATTAAAAAAAAAAGAAATTGCAGTAATAGAAGCCTTGGTGGATGTTAGCTGAATTGTGAGTAGCTTGCAAAGTTGTCCTTGGAGAGTGATTGTAGCTCAGCTTCTTCTTGTTTGTCAGTGTTGGGTTCTTTTGTGCCTCAGATCAGGAAGCGTCAGTCAAGTGGAAGCACGTCAGAAGATCGCTTTGCAGCTTCGGCCAGAGATTATGTGGAGTCGTTGCACCAGAACTCGCGGACACATTTATTGTATGGGAAGAACAATGTGCTGGTTCAGCCGGTAAGTGCTTAGAGACAGAGTAGAGGTAGTCCTCACCTTACGACCACAATTGAACTGTTGTTAAATGAGACAGTTCTTAAATGAATTTTGGCCCATTTTATGACCTAGTGCCACAGTTGTTAAGTGACTCACTGCAGTTGTTTACATTAGTAATATGGTTGTTAAGTGAAGCTGGCTTCCCCATTGACTTTGCTTGTCAGAAGGTCACAAAAAGGGATCACAAGACCCCGGGACACTCACATAAATGTGAGTCAGTCACTAAGCGTCTGAATTTTGATCACGTAACCAAGGGGGTGCTGCAACGGTCGTGTGAAAAATGATCATAAGTCACTTTTTTCAAGGCCATTGTAACTTTGAACGTCATTAAACAAACTGTTGTAAGTTGAGGACTACCTGTACAGTAGGTCATATACCAGTAATCCTTGACTTACAACCACAGTTGGGATCAGAAAATTTGATAGTTTGGTTGTTAAGTGAGCTGTCGTGACTGCACCCAATTTTACATATTTTTTGCTGCAGTCGTTAAGTGAATCACTGCAGTCATTAAGTGATGTATCATATGAATGCAATTTGCAACTTCCTTGCTAGCTTCCCCATTGACTTTACTTGTCAGAAGCCATCTGGGAAGGTTGCAAATGACAATCACATTATCCTAGGACCGTGATGGCGAACCTATGGCACGCATGCCACAGGTGGCACGCGGAGCCATATTAGTGGGCACGCCAGCTCAGCTCTGGGGCGCATGCACGCACTGGCCAGCTGATTTTCAGACCTTCTGGGCCCACCAGAAGTAGGGAAACAGGTTGTTTCCTGCCTCTGGAGGGCCTGGGGGTGGGGTGGGGAAGGCCCGTTTTTCTTTCTTACCTGGCTCCAGATCCTCTCTGTGTATCTGGGAAGGGCAAAAACAGCCTTTCCCACTCCCTTGGAGGCCCTACGGAGGCTGAAAGGGCCCATTTCCCAACTCCCGGTGGGACAGGAAGTGACGTTTTTTCCTGTCCCCAGCCTCCAGAGACTCCTAGAGAGGCTCTTAGAGACTCCTAGAGAGGCTCCTAGAGACTCCTAGAGAGGTTCTGGAGGCTGGGGACAGCAAAAAATGTCACTTCCTGTCCCACCGGGAGTCGGGAAATGGGCCCTTTCAGCCTCCGTAGGGCCTCCAAGGGAGTGGGAAAGGCTGTTTTCGCCCTTCCCAGATACACAGAGAGGATCTGGAACCAGGTAAGAAAGAAAAACGGGCCTACCAGGCCATCATGTGCCAGGAGTGGGGGGGAGGGGGTTGCACACGCATGAGCGTGGGCACGTGCACGCGCGACCCTCCCCCACCGCCCCCTCCTGGCACGCGATGGCAAAAAGGTTAGCCATCACTGTCCTAGGACATCACAACAGTCATAAATGTGAGCGCCAAGGACCCAGATCATAATCACAGGACTGCAGGAACTCTGCAACAGTCAATAGGTCTATGCTTAAGTCATTTTTTCCAGTGCTGTCCAAGTGATGATAAATTGAGGATTACCTGTACCAATGTCTATGGAGATTCTCAATCATCCAGGTCGTGGTTGTCTCAAAGCTGCTTTTTCAAGAGGAAACTGGACTATCTTGTTTTTCTTTGAAGACGTTTCGCTTCTCATACAAGAAGCTTCTTCAGCTCTTGGCTGGATGGTAGGGAGTGGAAGGATTTACTGTATATTTCTTGTAGACAGCTGGTCATTTGCATCCTTTTAGAGAGTTAAAAAGAAAAAAGCCACTCTTTTGAAGACAGCAAAGTCCACATTTTGGACAGAGGTGGTTTATTTTACTAATGGCTAGAAAAAGGGGTGGAGATTAAGAATGTAATTTGTATTGTTAAGTAAATTAAATACCCAGACAACACGATGTTTATTAAGCACTAAGAAATGTATTGAATAGAAAATCAATAAAATAATTTTTTAAAGCCTGTATTATTAACTTAACAACTGCAATGATTCACTTACCAACTGCAGCAAGAAAAGTCATAAAATGGGGCAAAATTCATGTAACATCTGTCTTGCTCAGCCACTGAAATTTTGGGTCCCATTGTGGTCGTAAGTCAAGGACTACCTGACCTTCAGCAAATGTCCGATATTTCTGTCTTGTTTTTTCTTATCACTTTTGGGGTTCACTTATGGAACAGAAAGATGACATGGAGGCCATTCCTGGATATCTATCGCTTCATCAGTCTTCTGATTCTTTAACTCTGAAATGGACACCAAATCAGCTCATGAATGGGAATCTGGGGGATTCAGAACTGGAGAAAAGGTAAGGGTTTGCTTGCAGTGAAATATTAAGCAAAAGATTAAAGGTAGCAAGGAAAAAGACACACAGATGTGCTCCTAGCAAATTCCAAAGTATTTTCAGCAAAGTATCCTCGTTAAATTCTAACTTGCTCAAGAACAACAGTGTAGGAAGAAAGCTGTGTTAATCTATGGTAGCAAAAAATAAAACAAAAAAACCAGGAGTCTGCTAGAATCTGTTTCTCATTCACAAATTTTATTCAAAGCCACAAGCTTTTGCAAGGTGCGGCTTGGTTCGTTGGATGCAAATGTTTCTCAGCCTTGGTATCTTTAAGAAGTTTGGACTTCAATTCCCCAGCTGGGGAATTCTGGGAATTGAAGTCCAACTAACAGGACTAGACTGTTTTAGGATTTATAGTAGGATGATGCCAGGGAAGCAGGAAGTGGTGATACAAATACAAGTTACAGGTCACACAGATTTCAAGAATTTTATCAAATAATAACTGCCATATGTTAAAACTCATTGTGTTGTAAGATTCTTGGATACATTATGACTGGCTGTAATATAAACAATGCTGCACTTCAATGACTAGATGGATTAAGGGCCACCTTCATAGTTGATGTCGTTGAATATGATTCCAGGGTCCAATGGTGTCGTTTAG